AAAAAAAAAAAAAAAAAATAGCTGATCGGCGGCAGCTCAATCGCGCCGCTTCATTCTTCTGCAGCAGTTCGGCGATGGGCCCTTCACTCCATCTCTTCCTCTTCGGCAGCACTTTGGCGGCAGCTCAAAGAAGAAGAAAGGGACTGAGGGACCCGCTGCCGAATTCCCGCCGAAGACCTGAAGGTGCCGCCCCGATACCGGACAGAGTGCCGCCTCTTTGTACTGGCCGTCCCAAGCACCTGCTTCCTTCGCTGGTGCCTGGAGCCGGCCCTGAAGAAGAACCTACAATATTGCAGATTTTTTTAAATTAAATTTTAGGAGAAATCTTGAAATATTTTGAAATTTCAAACTTTAAATGTTCAGAGCAAATAGGAAAAAGTTGGATTTTTTTTCACCAAATTTTTCTCCTTCTTTTTCCCAACCAGTGCTAGGCATTATCAATACTGAAACTTCAATCCACTTGTAGCTATCTGAGAGGGGCTTGCTGTTGAGCCAAGATAAAATTAACTAGCAGAACGTCTAAGTCTGCTCCAGTACTTTTCAGCACATAACAAGTATACACAGGATTGAGTATGAGTAGACACTTGCATGTCAAGTAGTGTGTCTGTATACCAACTAGTTAAAATGTAAGACTTTGAAAGGCTTTATACAGATTTTGTTTTCTTGTTTATTCCCAGCTGTGAATTTATTGAACGTTCTTCCTATTTCATGCTATGAAAAGTAAGAAAATGGATTTTATGCTCTTTACCATCAGAAATCTATTCATTAAAGTGTGTCATGATCTTACAATTAGATTCACTCTAGTCTGAAATTTGGGAGTCTATGCTAGATAATAACTGTAACCAGTAATGGTTCTGGCTGTTCTCTAACCTTTGACCCAAGATTGTTCCTTCAAAAAAATAGTTACATTTCTTTTCAATGTTAGTCAAATAGCCTGCGAGATTCTGACTGAGCACTCCAGGAAAAGTGATGAGTGCTCTCAGTTCAGCACCTTTCAGGAGGCATTCACTGCCTTGCAGGTTTGAGCATGGAGGCATTGTACTTTTAGAATTGTCACAGTCAGATCAGCCTACTTTTGTCAGATGGACTTTAGGTTTAGTTTGATTTCACTGGCAGAGAAAATACATTTGCAAACTTCTTGCTGTATTTGATAGATCAGCATAAACAGAGCCTGATCCTGAAGTCTCTGCTTAGGGAAAACCTCCACTGAACTCTGAATCGATGATTCATGATGTCAGATGGGAGTTTTGCCTGAGTAAAGACTGCAGGATCAGTGCTAAAGTGTGCCTGGACTTTTAAAAGAGAGCGTGAGAACATAGGCCACAATTCAGCATACATGTAACACTAAGCAAATGTGTCATCCCACTGAAGTCAACTCTCATGGTAAAGTTACACACACACTTAGGTATTCTGATGAAGACAGGCATGTAGAGATGTACAGTAGCTCCTGGATTCTGTGAACAGAAACAACTCTTGGTTTAACACAGGGTGTCGTAAATATTGCATCAAAATATTAATAAAGACCACAGTGATCCAGAATGGCATAAGCCTTAGGCCTGAAATTAAGAGAGATGAAGCAGCATGGAAAGAGAAACATCTTTCTTCATTCTCACATCACCTGTAAAAGGACATGGAAAAAATAGTTACTCTGTGAATCATCTGTTGTGAGATCAGAGGAGTAAATGGAAACATGACACTATTTCAGTCATACTGCATGAAAAGCTATCACAAAGCCAGTAACATTATTCACCATTAGAGCCTGGTAAATGTTTTGGCCAAAACTTCTTGTTGGCAAACAATGTAGCTTAAGTGACACCAAAATGTTTCACCAATTCATGTTGGTTACCCCCAAATTGTTCATGTTGAAAAAAGTCAAACAAACAAAACAAAAATCCAAAGAAATCAAAATGTTTCATTTTTGACATTTTTGAAATGAAATGTTCTGAATTTTTTTATTCAGGATTACTTTTAGTTTAGAAATTCCCTTCCATTTTATTTTTTTAAAGTAAAAAGCAACTTGAGATCAAAATGAAATGTTTAATTTGGGTCAACATTTCATTTGACCCAAAACAATTGTTCTTTAACTTTGATTCACTGAGAATTTTGAAAAATGTTGGTTTTGGGTTGTGCCAAAAGGAGTTGTCAGTGAACCGAATCAATTATTCACAGAGCTCTATTTTATGTGGCTGTTTGGGAAATTAGCACTTCTTGAGTTGTGTCAGTTATGTTGGTGTAGTAGATGAGGAAAGCATAGTTTACCGTACCTCTAAATTGTGGTATTTAGCCACGGGATGTGTGTCGGGGCGGTGTGTAAGTGGTTGCAAAGTGGGCATACAAGAAAATGCCACATCTCTTTCATGCAGAGGAGTTGGATCCATGCCAGCTGTGCATAAGTCTCCATGAATGGGACTTTTGAGGCAGGACAGAGGCAGAACCACTGGGGTCACAATAAAATGCTCATGATATCTCCAGTGTACTCATATGAAGTACATAAGGCTTGCAGCCCTATTCCAGTCTAACGGTCAGAATAACAGCCATGCATGGGCTGAACCATTGGCCCATTTTCTGACCACAGATGGAGTGAATTGCACAGCCTTCCACCAACACATGAAGCTGACTTATGGCTTGATCCTGCAAGATGGTGAACATCTCTTGTGAGGTGTTGAGTGCCTTGAACTCCCATAGCTGCATTCCATCAATGAGAACTGAGGGAGCTCAGTACCTTGCATGACTGGGCTTTTTGGCCTAGTGTGGCGGGGAAGAATTTCACTTCAATTCATTTGGTAAGGAGAAGATGATTTGATTCCCACTCAACCAATGCAGTGTTGACTGTCATTCTGGTAAGTTTAGTGCTTTAAAAGCATAGCACCGTACACTTCTGGAAAAAAACGAATGCTTCTCTTTTTATTTTATTTGCACAAAAGTTTGATTGCCAATATTTTT